GGGCCGCTCCAGGCCGCGTGCAGGTCGCGCCAGACCGGTGGCCGGGGGGGGACACCAACTTGGTAAGTTGTTGCTTGGGTGTTTGCCTAGTTATCACGAGGTGCCACATGTCGCAATTTCACTGGAGGGCCAAATTTGCCCTCATCACAAGCTAACCGTTTGATAAGAAGGGTATCCCAATCTCCGATGCCACAAATCGCATGACCCAATTCCATGCCACAAATCGCATGACCCAATTCCATCTGTTTTGTAAGCACGAACCGGCACCACACCCTTGAACACATAGACCCCATCAAGTTGTTCACCCACACCAATCAGAGTCCTCGAGATACAGTCCTGTATCACACACAACTTATTAGTAAACGTCACAATACAATTTATGTCACGAAGTAACCGACCTATTGACAATAAATTACAATTTAGTTTTGGGACATATAATACGTGCAGCAATTTAAAATTATTTCCAAATTCAACATTGCCTTTTTTCACGGCCTCGGTGTGCGCACCATTGGGTAACCTAACAGGACAAGGTGCAACATTATAGGTGTCGACGAGCACATTTAAATTCCATGTCATGTAATGTAACGCCCTAGAGTCAATAATCCATTCAGTGGAGTAATTCTTACTAGAGAGTTTTTCATTCGTCTTGGTTTATGTAAGCATTAAGCATGCTTACAAGAGTCTGCCATTGCTCGTCATGACTGAGCAGCATTAGCTTTTGTCGTGCCTCGATCACGTCTGCCAGAGGGTCCACCCCCTTTTCCTCATCCTGCTCCACGCCTAATCGGCGTACCACGGGGTCTGTCTCCCCACCATTCAGGGTATCCAATTAATTGGAAGCAAATCCTTCCTTCATGGCCAGATCGACCACAATTGTTACACAATTGTTTTGTCTTTTGAAGCAGCTCTACTGTCTCGCGATGTCTGCGAGGCTTGTGCTGCAAAACCAACCGCATCTGCTCATTCCTCCTTACCTCGTGTCAACGATCGATGTCGATCTTCTTGTATGATCATTGAGTAAACTTTGTTCATATTTGGAATTGGCTCCATACTCAATATGTTGGAACGCATAGTTCCAAATATATCGTTGTCCAAACCCATCAGAAATTGGTGGATTTTCTCTTCTTCTCTTTCTTTAACCAATTCGGCTGCCACTCCACACCTGCACTCGCATGTACACATGGGTACCTTAGAGTAGCTTCCTAATTCGTCCCACATTGCCTTCAATTTTCCGTAATATGCAACCACTGTCTGTCCATGTTGCTTGCAGTTAGCAAGCTCGGATTTAATCTGATAAATCCGGGGTCCGTTGCCTATCGAGAATCGTTCCTTCAAATCATCCCAAAGCTCCTTGACCGTCTCCATATATGTAATAGTTGAACACAGTGATGGATCGGCAGTATTGAAAACCCAAGCCACCAACATCGAGTTCACAATCCACCAGAGATCGATCTCTGGAGCGTCGTTCTCTGGCTTTATGACCCTGCCTTCGATGAAACCGGTTTTTGTTTTTTGGCACGAAAAGCAGTTCTCATCGCCTTTTCCCATTTGTCGTAGTTATCTCCTCTCAAGACCACTGGACTTATAGTAATTCCAGGATTATCTGATGGATGCAAATAAAAAGGAGAAGACGGTCCAACAGACTTACTCGAGCTCTCACGGTTCCTGTCGTTGTTGGCAGCCATGGTGACCAATCAGCAAGACTCGTCTGAGATGTTCAACCAAATGGTCGAAGATGGCTTTGGTGTCGATGTGATTCCGTTGCTCAATGTCAGCAGTAATATCTTACCCAAGGTGATTGATTATTGCAGGAAACACGTCGAGTTTGATTCCAAGGAGAAGATGGACGATCCTAATGAGGCTCACGAAGAAATCAGGAACTGGGACTCAGAGTACATCAACGTCGGTGTCGATGAGCTTTACCATCTTATAATGGCTGCCAACTACCTTCATATCAAAGGGTTGCTGAATTTGACTTGTCAGAATGTAGCTCGGATACCATGAAAAAATTTCGGAAGCAAAAGGTTCCCTTTCCATTGTTATCTTATGATATATATATACAAACTCGATGGAGTTTCTTGCTCCCAAAACTTTCTAAAAACCCTACGTCCTAAATGCAATGCAACTTCTATCTCCAAAAGACTTTCCAATCCAAAAAGAATATCTTCCTAAAAACAAGGCTGCTAAAAACAAAACTTCTAAAACACAAAGCTTCCTAACTGTACAGGAAATATACAGATCCGGGATCTCCTAGGACTCACGAATCTCGTCTAATACCTTTTGAAATCTTCTGTCAATATATATCATTCATTGACAATATTGCAGATGTTAGGGTAAATATCCAAACAAACATGCATATTTACCACTAAAAACTCACAAAAAGGATGCTAATTCATCTGACAAAAGAATTGTCACCAGATATCTAGTATATTGCAGACGTTAGTATTCATCGTATTCACTTATACTTCCATAAAATTTTCATATTGGTCTTTGATAAAAGCCAACTTTTTGCATTGGGTGCACTAACAAATGATTTTAAGTGTTCATAATTTAATAATGGATATGACATTAAACAATGGTAAAACCGGATTCATTTAGTGAACCCCATATAATTGGGATAAGGTTTAGATGATGCAAGGTGCCAATCAGCTGGTTGGTAAGGTCTCCTCTGATCGTAGCAGAGATATGGGATCGAATGTGGGGGATAGGCTACCCCATTGTGTAGCCCTTCAAAAGATATCAAAACAAAAAAAAAGGTTTAGATGATGAACATGTTGAGTGCATTAAGATTCACATTATGTTTATTGTAGAGGATTAATTTTTAGGTGTAAATTGGGGCTATCCATTGTTTTCCTCTTGCTTGGCAGAGACCTGAAATTCATACAATTGCCATTATAAATCCTTCATCTGAATACTATGTAAATCTACCCTCCCTCCCTTTACCTCACCAAACCCATGAAAATAAAAATTAAAAAAAAAAAATCTTTCAGGGTTCAATGACATTGGTTGATGCTAAAAGAATTCAATGCAACAGCAAAGCATGTCACCTTGTTGAAGTCCTCAGTAAAGATGAATAGAGCCCAAATTGGGCATATTATACATTAGTTCGACTGGATAGATGGTGAGAAGTTCCTTAACTTTACCAGTCCAGCCAGTGGCGAAACTAAATGAATGGTAGACTAGACATCAACAAATTAAAGAAATGAACAGAAAAGTCAAAAGTGATGAATGCCTTTTGTGTATCAGGTCTCCACTTGACCTTTCCCTTCAAGGAGTGAAGGGAGTTATTTAGATCAAGGATGCTTTCATATGTATCAGTCCAAGTAAAATGCACCTCAAATATATAAGTTAACATATGATTTTATTTAGCAAATGGATTGGTTTAATGGCAAAAAAATTTGGTTAATGGTTTGTAGAGACCCAGTACCTTTATCTTAATCAAGTATCGAATATATAAAGTGGGAGCTGAGACATTAGTTGATGCATTATTGGTGAATTTATTGTAGGATATCTACAAGTCCCACACTTGTCCCATGTATTTATATCATAATAAATTCAACACGAGATTTGGGGTTATTAATGCATTTATTAATATAGAGAGAGAGAGAATGTGTAACAGAAATTACGATTAATGCCAATTTTCAAAAGAATAGCTAATATGATCAGTGAAAAAAAAAAGATGGAAGCTGGACTAACTTGGGCCTTGGAGACCAGACCTGATTGAAAAGAAAAGAACCATTTGAACACTCATCTTTGAAATAGGTTAACCTGTAAATCTAGTGTTGGATTAATTGAGAGTACAGTGTGTTGATTGGCCAACGTAGTTGCAAAGGTGAAACAAACATATCAATGAAAAAAAGGGCATAGAATCAAGCCAAAAAAATCTCATTTGATTTAATCTCACTATTCATGAAAGATCAACTTAGGCAGGCTGTGTTTGAGTCGAAAGAAAAGGTAGGGAAACCTGTACAGGTTGTATCGCTGTTTTCAAAATCGGACCGGACCGGATGGTCGAATTGGAAAAATCGGGAACCGGTCATCTGACTGGTTTGGTTTTCCTCCAAAACCATTTTTTTCCTCAAAACCGTTGATTTTGGTCAGTAAACCGCTGAACCGGCCAGTTAACCGTTCGAATGGTTTTGATCGTTTTCCAATTTTTTAATTTTTTTAAATTTTTTTATTTTTTTGTCAAAACAGCCGGCTGTTTGGGTCGAACGGTCAGACCATTCAAACCGATAACCAGACCCCTGATCGATTCGATCACCGGTTCGTTTTTAAAAACCATATTTTTTTGGCAATTTCTTATCAAAGTTTTATCATAGAAAACATTACGATAATAGTTCTAACATGTACATGTTAAGTAAGAATAGTGAGAGACTAGATGAGATTGAAATGAAAAGTAGTATTCTGAGTTCTAATGTTAGAGTCGGAGAACATAGACAATCTGACAGACTTCAAACAAAAAATGGTTAAGTGGATAGCAATGTTCATTGCTCAGAAGCCAAAATGCTAGAAAATTGAGATGTCAATTATCTTCTTTTTCTTCTTCCCCATTGTTAATTTATTTTCTTATAAATAATACAAGAAAAAATGAACATTTGTGAAAAATGTTGATAAAATTTCTTGGATCGATAGAATATTTGTACAAGGCAGAAGTGCTACTGTAGCTTTTGTCCAATTTCTTTAATTGTTTTACCCTTAATATGATAAGATCTTCCTTATTCACCTTACTTTATTATCCATGTATATTTCAGCTTTATAGTTATCTCGACTGGGTGATTGCAAGGCGTTTGTAATAAACCAAATACCTGCTAAATCAGACGCAAAGACGGTGCAGAAATGCAGAAATGATTTGGGCAGACCACACAAGGGTGATTTAATTTGCTATGGATACACCATGGATGATTTAATTTGATATGGCCATGCTACATTTTGCATTCTATTATGTGCATGGGTATTGATGAAACATGAAGAACTTTATTCTTTGGGGTATTGTAACATCTCCCCTTCCCCCACTAAATCCCTTCTGTCCTCTTAAATCTCCATTGACCCCTTTTGACTCTCTTAATAAAGCAAAAGTATAAATTAGATGGGTTTATGTCAGATTAAGAGCCAATCCAATCTTAAATATGGAATCTAACCTCAACCCAAACTGATATTAAAATCCAAATTTTCCAACCCAAACTCATTTTAGTGATAGCATCAAGGTCCTTCGCCGGGGGGTACAAAAACTTGTTAATAAGGATGGCAATTTCTATCATACCCGGTCGGGACGGGTTCTTTTGCTTTAAGGATGGATTTTGGGGTGGAGACAGGTTTTGGGATTCTATAGCCCATGCAGGTACAGGTTGGATACGACATTAGGTTAAAGGAAGTTTGATGCTTATACATGAAAAAAATAATAATAGAAATTAGAAATGTTGTTTATTTCTACATGTCTTAATCAAATAATTAGAAATATTGTTTATTTGTGTTATTTTACTTATTTATTGTTTATACATGACAAAAAAATAATAGAAATTAGATGCAGATTCTAAACCCAACCTGCTCCTACCATTGAATGTGGGGAGAGTAGGGTCAGGAATGGTTTTACATTTTCATATACGGGAAGGTTTGGATTCTCAAAATCCAACCCGCTGCAGGTTTTGGGGTGGATATGGATTGGGAGGTTAAGGAGGTGAATAGGGTTTAGAATTTAAAAAATACTCCCCAAACCCACCCCATTTCCATCCCTATTAACATTAAATCAGGAGAGAAAACATTCAATTCCAACAAAAAAAATCCTGATAGAAAAAACATGACCCAAAACACACAGATCTCTGCACATTAATATCAGTTTATTCAAACAGTCCTCTAGTAGCTTCTTGCTGTAAAATCAGAGCTGGAGATAGCAAAAGCCAATCAATGGATCTCTGTTTTGATTATTTCTGACCCGAAGGTTGTTATTAACTTTTTGGAATGCCTTTAGCTGGATTGATGCTACTCATAAACTTTCTTAGTTAAGGTTAAGTTTTGTTCATTCTTAGGTCTTTGAACAAGTCTTTTACTTGAGCAGCCCCCCTTGTATTGAACCGTTTGTTGCTTCTTTAGTGTGTGTGTGTGTGTTTACATATAAAAAAATTATAAAAAAAAAAAAAACTAATGTCCATTCAAGCCCAAGCACTTGCATGGATTTATTTGCTGGTGTATCTAAATTGAGAATTACTGCATAGGTACTACTGGACGTTATCCTATGAAAGAACTAGGACAAATTAGGAGCCATTTTGGTAACTTTTTCCCAAGAGCATTTCTGGTGCCCTCAAGAGGAAAAATATGTTTCCTGTAGGTCAGGTCCGTTACCAAACACAGCCATATGTAGTCATAAAATTTTTCCTTGTTCTATTATTTGTTTTTGATATCTCGATATAAAAGACATTTTTCCTATGCATTGTTACATGTCAGAGATTATATGTTTCCAAGAAGCCAACATTAACCAAAAAAAGAGACTTCTTTTTGCTTCTTTTCATCAATGACCAAAACATTTTAACCTTTTTTTTCCTTGAATTGGGACCCTCTCAAAAAAAAGGAAAAAGAAAAAGAAAAAAGATCTCCCAAACTGTGCAATTCCCTCCCTTCTTACATTGCAGACCAAAATAAGCCCTATCCTATCCTCTTATCCACCCACGGAAACCTGATAGCACCTTCAAGTTTTGGCAGGCACAGCACATCAGAAGTCTTTCCTGAGGACTGGAGCACCTGTAACTTATTACACTCGCTTTCAGCAAAAGGCAAGGATAGAGATATCCCACCCATATCTCTCTCTCCTTTCTTTGACATCCATTCAGCTTCACGGCTTCCCATCTCAATATCAATCAAAAACAGTAATGGAAAAAAATAAAAATAAAAAGTACCCTCTGGCATCAAACTAAAATTTCTTCATCCAGTATGTAAAAAGACTGGTATCTCAGGCTTCAGATTCAGAGTCAGACGAGCTCAATCCAGAAGAAGCACCACCAAAACTGCCAACACGTGACTCAAGTGGCATAGGAAGTTTCACTTGCTGCTGACTGCCTCGGCATAATTTTGAGGATGGCCTCAGTTTCATATACTGCACAAGACAAGTAAAATGTCCACAAGATAAGAAAAAGTTCAACTACTGAAATTGCAATAAATTATTGGAAACTGCAAGGTAAGGTCTCCAGCTAGGGGTGTCAATGGACCGGTTTTGGGTTGGACTCCATCCAAATCAAAATCCATTTGGATGGATTGGACAGATCAATAAGACATTGAATTTGGATGGACTGGACGGACCAATATGACATATTGGATTGGACCTGGTCCGTCCATAATGAATTTATATTGGATTGCGCCAATATCTGGTCCATTGATAGAAGATAAGAACATAGGTGTCAATGGACCAGGTTTGAGTTGAAACCAATCTAAATTAACAAGAATTTGAACAGATTGGACAGTCTCTGGACCGGTCCAAAATGGTCCAAAACTATAATTGGACTGGATTGGACCAGGTCCATTTGTAATGGACTCACATTGGACTGGACCGGATTGGACCAAATCCAGTCCAATTCACACCCCTACCTGCAGATGGTTGTAGCAGAGACTTGGGATCAAATCCTAGCTGCACCAAGGGTTTGGAGGGTTATGTGTTTGGGGGATGGCCTCCCCCCAGTTGTATAGCCCCATGGAGCCAAAAAATTAAAATAAAATTTGGAAACTTTGGCATTGTCCATATCCAAACCAAAACTGAAGGTCCCCACTACCTCTTTGTAGAAAGCACTGATCTCCTCCTCTGTAAGGCCTTCCTCCTCTCCAGCATTTTCATCCCATCCAAGTGAACGAAGGAATGCAGCCTCTTCCTCATCTGGATACACAAATGCATCAGGGCTTGAATGTTTCTCTCCATTGTTCAAAAATCTTTGGGACTCCTCAGAGGCATTGCCATTACTAATGGTTTCAGACCCATTTTCAGTCGACCAGTCTAGGCAAGAGGGATCTGGTGAAGGGGCATCACTACTCTGAGGGCTAACTGGAGCAGCAGGGAGTGCTGTCTGTTCAGTTGACTTATCTAACAGAGAAGATGAAACAACAGGGCTTGGATCTGGGGCAGCTGAAGAAAGGTTTCCTGAAGTTTTCTTCCTCATAAGATTGAAGAAATCATTTCTACTCTGGACTTGAGATGTTGTGGGCCTCTTCTCCACAGAAGATCCATGCATAAGAGAAGCAGCAGCTGACTTGCGCTCATTGGAAAGTTTCGAATTGTTTGGGCTCTTCAGAGGAGTGAATGCAGCCGATGGAGCAAGGGCGAGCGGGTTATTCGCTACTTTGCTGACATTTGTTGGACTCTGACCATCCTTTGCAATAGGTGAGATACCATTTTTCTCCCGTGGAGCTTTCAAGACAAGAAGTTTCCCACCATGAGATGTCTTTGAAACATCAGATCTCATAGGTGCACCACGTAGAGATGAGAGTTGCTGCTGTTGAATGGTCTTAGTAGCATTCATCTCTCCAGTTCTGACAGATATCTTGGGCTTTGCTTTCTCTAAAGAATTGAGAACCTGAAAAGATAATTGTACAATGATTAGCCATTAAAGATTAATATTAACTTCTGCTGCTTGAAACTAAATAATGTATTTCCACAATGAAAAATCTAGACCCACCAACAGGCATATCAAGTTTCAACCATCATACGACAGACTCATCATTTCTCAATAATCCAATGGGCAGGCTCATCCGCCTACCAAAAAGGATAAATTATGCAGCTAACCAGTAATTGCCGAAAGTATTCTTTTTTACACCAATTGCCAAAAGTATCCACTAACACCACACCAAAAAGATAGTCATAGAATTTTAAGTATGTATACCTAGTAGAAGCTATTAAATATTTAATGATAAAAATCTAAATATACTGGTATAAAAAACTCCCTTTGGATTATGTATAAGAATAAATGATCTTTAAGTGAAACAAATTTGATGGTGGATCTAGATCATGTATGGGGCATGTGGCAATTGAAGGGTGATGAACACCACAAATTTGTTTGAGGGCCTTCCTTGTAGCATGGCCCTTCAGTAAACCATAGTAACTACTTTGACCCATAAAAAGGAAACAATAGTAACTGATAGTTCTCAAAAATAATTATTAGTTACCATTTCTCAAAAAAAGTTACTGAGTTGTTTGAACATCCTTTATTGCATTATTCCCTACACATTTTTATTATTGATAAGAAGTGCCTAACGAGGTTCAAAGTATCAATACAATATGCCTTGTATCGGGCATATCATATTACATCATATCTTTGGCCCATCGACATGGCTAAACACCCATTATTTTGGGGTTTGACAACTTTCAGAGGGTAACAGGCCTAAGACAAATTTAAAAGAAAAAACCAAAAAAGAGGAGTGTGCCTTTGAAAAACCCAATATGCAAGATCATATGTATCAGGTGCATTCATACTTTAAAGTTTAAACCTTGGTGCCTAATTTTATCTTTCTAACTTACCAAGCATTAGTGGTTAAATACATATAAATAAAATTACTTTCAAATATGTATCAGCAAACCAATTATAGTTACTAACTACATAATGGACTGTATTGGTTACATTCAAAAAAAACACTACCATAATAATTTTTAGTATATTCAGAAGAGAAAAAGGTTTGGATATGCGTTGAGAATACTGTTCCACATGTCATTTGTGGGAGTGTCAGCATGTATTGCTGTGGAGGTGAACATCTTTGTGTTGATGAGCCAGCTCGAGGGTAATTCCGGCATGCCATGTACATGGAGTTAGATATATTTGTTTTTGACAGACTTGAATGCTTTTGTATATGTAATGTATATGTAGTTTATAGATTTATGGATTATATCTGCAGTCACAATTTTTTTCTTGTTTGATACTTAGAAAACATCTTTAGGATCATGCTTTACTTCTCTAGGACTAACCACTTCACCCCAATTTTTGCCTTTGAAACTTTGCTATAGAATTATCAGCACGAAGTGAGTTATTCTCAGAGACAATTGTGTTTTCTCATGCATGTCAGCCAAAGAACAATAATTTTACCATCTCACCCAAAACAACCCCCCTGTATAGCTGTAGTTCAACAGTTAAAGACATTAATGAAACCTATCATGCCAAAAAAGAAAACGAATTGGCAACTAGGCATTCAAAACCCTGGACTCTCTTGTAAAAAAAACAAAAGCCACACCTTCTAACCGACAAACCACTGCTTAATGAAGAACTCTAAACAAATTATAAATGATAACAACAAAACTAAATTAGGGACTGGATAATGAAATAATCAATATGCATCATTGCCAAACAGCCAAAGCAAAGGGAAAGGAATTCAAAAACATGGAATAGTTCAGACAAAAAAGCCTCAAAGAAGTGTTTAAAAGATGTTTGAAGAACCAGGCTTTGCTCAGCAAATGGCTGTAGAGGTTTCCCAAGGAAAATGATAAATTATGGCACAAGGTTGTTGCAAGTATTCATGGCATGTCAAGTAATGGATGGGATGCTGGATGTCTTCGTAGAGCTACCTTCGCTGCCCCCTGGAAGGCTATTCATGAAATTCTTCCTACCTTTTTACACCATATAAGGTATGATTTGGCTTCCAGTCCAAAAAGCAGCTTTTGGGAGGATGTGTGGATTTGGGATATCCCTCTGGGTGACAAATTCCCTTCTCTTTTTGATCTTTCTAGGTTTAAGGGTAGGCATATTTCTAACTTTCTAAGTCAGCATTGTTATCCTTCAGGACTGAACTGGAAATTTGGTTTTCTCCCATTCCCCCTAAAATCAGTGCTTTCTGTTGGGCAGTGTTTCATGGTTGTACTAATACCTATGATCTTCTCCAAAGAAAAAGACCAAATTGGTGCTTGCCCCCCAACTAGTGTGTCCTTTGTAAATTGAATGGTGAGACTGTAGTTCATCTTCTAATCTCCTGCCCCCTTTTGTTAGCTTTATTTGGGATTGGTTTGCTTCTCTTTGGCTGCAGGTGGTCTTCTCTCTCTTGACAGGCTAGATGGTTTGTTTAGCCCTAATGGCATTAGCTATACAAAAAAGAGGGGTAGGACCTTGTGAAGATTCACTAGAGCAGCATTACTTTGGACTGTTTGGGAGGAAAGAAATGCAAGAATATTTGAAGAAAAGGAAAGAAGCAAGGAAGCCTTCATAGAAACAATGACCATAAGAGTGGCACACTGGGCAAAGAGCATGAAGTTGTTTTCAGAATTCAAGATTGAAGTCTTTTTAGAGCTTGGGGTGTTGTTGCTGCATCCTCATCTACAAGACAGAGATATGTAGAGGCATGGTCTCCCCCAGCCCTTCAGGTAATTGGGGGGGAATAGAGATGAAGATGGGAACATACTTGTTTTATACTCCGGTCCTGTGGAGCAAGGTGATGTGGCAAGGTCAGAGTGGAATATGGGGTTGAGAAGGCAAAAGAACAGGGTATTAGTAAACTGATTATTGAGGGAGACTTGAAAACTGTGGTAAAATAGCTGATAAGGGGAAGGGATGACATGGCATTTGAGGAATGAATTCAGGAGATTTAATGGCTATCAAAGGACATGTCAATCCAAGAGAGATGGTGAGGAGAACTGCCAACAGTTTGGCAGATAGCTTAGCCAAACAAGGGCTTCATAGAACACATATGTTTTGGGGTCAAATGTAATCTTGGTTTGGATCAGCTTCTAAAGCTGGATTTTCTTTTCACAACTTGGTGTAACCTGATTTTTTCTAATTAATGAAGTCTTTTGTGTTGCTGATCAGAAAAAAAAAAATGTTTGAAACTCCTCCTGATAAGGAGATCCTTTTTTATCAACCTTAGCACATCAGTGTTTAGCAATGAGCTTTTCTAGAAGGGCTAAAACCAAGTTACACTGTATCAAAAGTGTTCTTCCAAGGTGATAAGATGTTTTAGAGTAATAGACAGTAACAAAATGTGACCAAAAGCTAATGTGTTTCTTTTGTATTAGAGGATAAGCAACACATTTAACCATCTGGTGGGCATTACAACAACTAAACATTGATTGCAATTCATATCATTTCTTAGCACCCTCCAAATTCCAACTGTAAGAGGGAAATTGAAGATCCTACAAAAATTCAAATGCCTTCTAGAAAAGACAAGAAACTGTCATAACTTGGGCACCTTTTATTACAGCCAAACCTATTAGAGCATGACTGGAAGATAAAAAACATAACTGAAGCTAGTCCAACCCACAACAGTCTTTATTCAACAATCTTCAAAGCCTCCATCAGTCCATCACATTCCAAATTAGTTAAGTCATTTGTGTTCATCATCAACATCCAGGCCTTATCCCAATTATATGGGGTCGGCAACATGAATCCTGTTTCGCCATTCTGTTTTGTTTAATGCCATGTACTTATGGGCACTTAAATCATTTACTACTTTGACTCATGTTGGTCTATCCCTAATCCTTCTAAGCCCATTCAACTTGCAATATATCAAGTCTTCTTATAGGTGCTTTTGGCAGTCTTCTATGCATGTCCAAACCATCTTAGGCTACTCTCTCATTTTATCACCCTATTGGGGCTACTCCTAGGTTCTTTCAAATTATTTCATTTCTTACCCTATCCTTTCTAGCTTTTCCACTCACCTATCTCAACATATGCATTTCCTCTAAAATCAATTTTCAGACATGTTTCTTGACTACCCAACATTTTGCCCCATACAACATAGCAGGCCTTACAACTGTTTTATAAAATTTTCCTTTCAATTTGAGTGGTATTTGTTTATCACATAAGACTCCGAATGCACCTCTCTGTTTTGTCCATAGCACTTTAATCCTATGGGCAATAATCCTCCACAATCTCTCCCTTCTTATGAATTATTGAACCAAGGTACTGAAAAAAGGGCACATTGTGTTATCTCTTGAGTCCTACTTATTTTAAAACCACTTCTCTTTGGGTATTTGTCCATAAACTTAATTTTGCATTTAACCCTTCATTAGTTTCATCAAGACCTCCTGATCAATGTTTTTTTTATGAATGAAGGTAAAATTTTATTAATTCAGAAACTAATTTAAATTTGTAAGCTCATACAACAGCCCTTGGAGAGGAACAAGCTGCAACTTTGTAATATCACCTTTGTTCTTAAATATAGGCACTATGCTGCTATTTCCCCATTCATCAGGCATCTTTTCTTTCATTACCTTATAAAATAGCTTAGTTATCCATAATAAGCCTACCTCTACCATACCTTTCCACACCTCTATTGACACACCATCTAGTCCTAAAGCCTTTCCCTTCTGAAGTGTCTCTTTCACTTCAGCAATTATAATTTTACAAAGGTACGTGCTATTTCCAACATTATTAGTAATGACAAATCTCTCCTCTACTAGTGCCCCCTACATGTTTTCTCATCTTTCCTTGATTTCCTCAAATGTTAAGTCACGCACTAAGACGTTAAAATCCTTAGAATGTGACTACCTAATGAACAAAATAGAAATAGGATTGCTCTTTGAAATAAGAAAATAAAAACCCGCAGAAAGCAACTAGCCTGGTCGCAATGTTTTCAGGGCCAATAGGGTACTTGTGATTCTGTTAGGTCAGAAGTGATAGCAGTGATGGAAGGGGTTAGAAGAGCAAGAGAACTAGATATAAAGAAATTAATCATAGAAGGGGATTCAAAGGTTGTCGTGATTGTGAAAGTGCAGTGGGTTCAAAGATCAGCCAACTCTATAGGACACTCTAGCTAAGCAAGGGGTTCTGAGAGAAAAAAAATGCTTTTTTGAGAAAAAGGCAAAGTAAAGTATATCATTGATAAAATAAATCCACATACATCAAGAGTAAGGGTGGGAAATATCATGTACAACACTACAAATAGAGGGAACAAATATTTTGGGCTAAGTTGTAATATATATCAGTGGGTAAGGATAGATATGAGTAAGGGTATTTGTTTGTAAATTAGAATGTAAAGTTGTATATATTATTCTCTTTTTTAATGAAATCCCTGCCACTCATCAAAAAAAAAAAAAAAACAAAATCAAAACAATGATGAGGATCATCCATCACTTGATGAGCTTCCTACAAGGGAATTGCTACAAAGGACAACAATTCCAAAAGGCTATGAAGTAGTGGCTCTTTCAAAGAATGAATCAACCAGACTCAATTAAAAATGGGAAAGTTTGTGAGGAATTAAAAGACATCTTTATATTTCATTTCCTTTTATATAGCGTATGTTGTACACTCTTGGAGGAAATCCAGATTATTATTATAAATATGTCTAAAGTACTTGCTATTCTCATCAAGAAAATATAAGGTAAAATGGTACCCTTGTTTTAGGTGGCCTATACCCAAAAACCTGCACCAAGGTATCATATCAAGTAGGATTCTTTGATTTTTAGTATAAATTCTGCATCCAACACCATGTCTGGCCATCTCTTTGTTGTATTTAGGTAACATAATAGGTGGAAATTTGGAATGTGAATGATTTGGCACTGAAGATCTTGAGAGCTTGTTACATAAATATGGTATGAAAGATCCCAAATGAAACTTCTTCCTTGAAATCTTGTCATATTGGGAACCACCAACTGCCCCTAACCACCGATAGTAACCATTGAGCATCTAACTTTGAGTAAAAAAATTCGCATTTTGTGCATTCTAAACCTCCCAATGTGAATAAACTATTTCCGGTGTTAAGTTTGCTTGGATCTTGTTATTTATCTATTATCTTTTCTCCCTTTGGCCCCGTTCATTTACAGGTAAATAAGAGAGGGGAAGTTGGTCAATGTGTATCTTTTTCCCACTGACCAACTTTACAATGTTCTTTTTGCATTAAGTAATGGGCCCCATGGTAAAATCAGCTCCACTTCCCTGGGTAAAACTTACCCATCTCCCAGTTGGGTAAGTAACTTTCCCACCTGAGAGGAAAATTTATAAAACATAATAGGACAACTTTGCCCATTTTAATATTAACTTTTTATAGGTAAAAATGTCATTCTATTACTTACCTGGGAATCCAGGGAATCAAAAGAACATGTGTAAATGTTACCCAGGAAACATTTAGCTGGTTAAGTACACTTACCCGGGTAAGTTACAAAGTTGTAAACGAACAAGGCCCTTATTGTATGTGTCGGTTCAATTGGCATCCAGACTCCAAGAGTGATTTAAATGCATAATCTCTTCTATTTTCAAAATGTTTCTCATTGTTCTCCCCACATTGACCTTTTCTCTTTGATCATTCTCAAAGACCAGGACATGCCAACATGGTATTCAATATTGCCAAACTATGGGCTTACCAAAAAGCAAAACTTCCATATTACAACCATGAACCAATCTTATCACTATATAGAACTAAAGCAACTAAAAGGTTTTTCCTGAATTTGCAAACTAGCATGAATGAGAGAGAAAGAAAGAGATTACATGGCCCAAATGGCAACTCATAAACATCCTAAGGTTAACTGTGGCTTGATGATACTATGAAAGTTAGATCATTAACAACACTCAAGCAAGCAGCATCCATTTTTTCTTATTTTTTAGATTGTGCAACCATTAAACATGTAAAATGATCTGTTTGACTCAAAATTTAGCTGACCAGGGTACTTTACTCCAATGCTGATCCATCCTTAAGCCATTTTGCCATGTCATGAAATTCTGCCTCATGTTACACAATCTAACAAGCAATTCCAAGTTCCCTCTGAGATTCTTGGAGGCTTTAATTAAAATTAATGGTTGGGATAGGAAGGTGTTTCTCAAGAGATAGCAGCAAAATTGTGGCCATTTGGGGTACCCATCAGATCAGCAATGCAGATTCAACCAAGGCTATGGTGCTCCCTCTTCTTTCTAGAGGGCAAATTACCAGCAATCTCAACTTTACTTCATCAGCCATTGAAGAGGACAAACAGATGATATTACTAACAAATATGAGGGTTAGGATCAAGGTTCAAAGAATCAATACGTATCACGGGCCGATACTATCGTGCCGATGGCTTCCCGATACACCCCTCTAGGGGTTGTATCAGGTCAGACACTGGTTCAGAGGGTAGTCGGGCCTTAAACCAACCACTCTGAACCAGTTTCGAAATAAAATAAATAAAACCTAAAAAAAAGTTCTGATGGCATATCAGCCTGTGTCGATACTTTGAACCTTGGCTAGGATAGGATCATATCATAGAGACTTGATATCTGCAACCTACCTAAACAAAGTTATGGGAATTTAGGCATCCATCTCAGAAATCAGGAAGAATTCAAGAACAAAAATCAATGAAGTAACTCAATTGGGTGTTGGAAGGTTTTTTTGTTTTGCAAAAATCTCAATACCCAGTTAGTTTTATATTGAAGAATGAAGATTTAAGCTATATACTTTTATTCATTAATACACCATCATGCCTCACCATGACTAAACCTCTATTCTCTTTAATACAATTCCTTTACTTTATCAAAAAAAAAGAAAAAAATAAACTCAACCTTATTGCAATTATTATTTTTTATATCAACAACTAAATTAATTAAGGCCCATTGAAATCAAATAAGGGAAACTTAGAAAACAGATGTCCTAAAATGGAAAATTGTTACAAAACTCAAAAAAAAAGTGGTAGCTCTTACTGAAGTTTTAGGCATCGAAGGTGTCATTGGTATTAACTGCCTCGACTGTTTGATGGCCAATTCCTCAAGCCTCTGAGTCTCAACAGATAACTACAAACAAGAAACAAGGGATGCAAACAAAAAATGGTCAAAAATGCAATAACCAAGAGAACTACAGAAATAAAAGCATGAAGGGAAGGAATAACTCAGTTACCTGGGGAGAAATGCGAGCCCTTGAAGGGGCCTGTGCCAATGTCTCAGCCATATTGAGACCAGTAGACGAGTTGGTTGCCCCAGAGGCTGAACTACCTAGAGTGGCTTGTTGAACAGATGAGATTCCTGTGCCATTGTTTCCAATTATCATGGGCACTTCTGCCAAAGCTGAAGTCCAGCCATCACCCCCAATCAAAGCCGAACTACCCATTGGCAAGCTTTGGACTGCTGAGCTCAAACCAGGTGATGATACTCTTCCTATATCCGGAGTTCCTGGCTTTTCTTCTGCTCCAAGCGAGGGGAAGTCCCTTTCAAATGCAGCCTTTTGGATGCTGCTAACAATGCTGCCACCAACAAGCAAACCATTGCTGGTGTTTTGATTAATGTTACCATTGTTCAAGTCAGCTGCTACTTTTCTGGGCCAGACCTCACCCCGTTTACCTGATACCATTGATTGTGAGCGCCTTAAAGTGTCCTTTTCAATCCTACTAGTCAGAATACTCACCAAAGGATCAGAAAAATCAAGGTCCCTGTGATCCCCTGGGACAGACCTCTCTTTATCACGGAAATCAAGGATGTCCTTTTCCCAGTCCCTATCACGGTGGCTCCTAGCAAAAGCACTGTAAGACCGTGTGTAGCTAGGAATCTCCTTGTCATGAACAATGGAGCCATTGCTGCTCGAACTCCTTCTGGAGTAGGCTGAAGAGGTCCTATCTGAAAAGGCAGAAGATCGAGGGGTATCATAATCTCCAATGCTCAAAGATGATCTGTTTCTTGTGGGAAGTGCAACAGCATTATCATCTAAACAACAAAAAGAGAATACACCATAGAAAAAATAATGTTCAATATAAAACTGGCATTCTGTAGAGATAAAGGAAGAAGACTGACAAAACAAGAAAAAAACCAAGTTAAATTACCAGATTGCAATGACGATGATGCAAAATGGTGGGTTGTACTGCCAGCACCAGTTATGCCTCCGGTGCCCTTCAACCATTCTGGAACTAATGTGGGTTCACTTTTTGCCATTACGGGTATTGAACATGATAAGAGACAATAAAAATAAATGTGCCAATGTGCTTATCCTTTGCGGTCAATCCACTTAACTCAGTTCAACTTTTACTAGTAATGTTGTTTATCTGTACAGAACTAATCCAGCCCATCCTTAGTTTTAGTTTATCAGCAATTGCGCCTCCTTCACATGGACCAGAAATGAAACCACACACTACTTCAGTCGACCAGTTTGAACAGAGTTCGCAAACCTTTAATCCTATCGAATGCAGTCACGGAGATTTCAAAAGAATCCAGCGGCTCCTGTACAAGACGGAAAAACTCTAACCTCCAGTGGAACAAACGACCTATTCCCTCAAAACCACAAGTAGGGTTCCTTTCTGCTCTCTGTACACCGTTGATTCAGCAAGACCAAATAGAAAAGATGCGAACTTCTACACTACCATGCAGCCAAAGGAAGGTCGGAGACAATGGCAACAACGAGAGACACAATACAAGAAAGAAGACGAAAAAGGTGCAACAATAAGGGCTTCTCTACGCCTCCATCTTCAATAAGAGATGGAATTGCAGTCGGCCGAAACACACTCAGAAGACCCTCATCGCATTAACGACTCAAATTAATACGCCCAAAGCAACCTAGCCCTTCGCAGACAATGAAGGAACTACAATGCTTCTCGAATAAGAATTCAAATCCATTACAGCAAACGAAGAGAAACACCCAACCCTATAAATATAAAAACCCTAGGCAGCGATACGATTATCACGGACCCAAAACCATCCAAAAACGAGGAAACCCTCGAACAGAAGTGCCTAAAACTAGGGTTAGCAGAGCACAGAAAGGCAGAAATTGAAACAAAAACCAGACAAAACGGTAAGGGGCAGAAACAGAGACGAACGAAGAGACTTGACTAACCCTTGCCTCTTAAGGAATGATGGGAAGGACGACACCAGAAAGTTTCTGCGCTGGCAATCCCCACCGAAGGATCCAAGTTGAGAAACCCTAACCGTTGGATCAACCGCCGAGTGTGTTCCAATGCTGAGTAGTCGTTTGAAGGAATTCGAATGGGAGACGGAGAAGCTGAACAGTTTAGCAGAAGGAAAGAGTGTGTGTGGAGGCGCTTCCGATGGGAATTGAAGTGCCGAGCGGGACAGAGCCTTTTATTAGGTCTTGTGTGTGAGAGAGAGAGAGAGAGAGAGATTAGAGAGAGGAGAGAGAAAGAACATGCGCTTGGGTGGCTGCCGTGGAGGGAAAGAGGGTTTTATCCGAGTCCGGGAGAGTCTAGTGAGAGAAAATAAAGGAGAAGAGAGAAGAGAGGTCTTTGAGTGTTTTTCTTTTGTGTTGTTTGGGTCACTGACTCACTGAGACGAGAAACGTATGAAGAAGAAACTCTCTTGCTATATGGGCTACAAGGACAATGGAACCTGTTTTTCCTCTTCTACAAAAAATGTCTGCTCACCTTTGTTTCTTGCCTCTTTTGGGGTCAGATTTTGCTATACCGTATGTGAGAACAGAAAGGATGAGCTCCCTCCTGTAGATAGATATTTGGGTCTATAAGATTCTCTCTCCAAGGTCAATTTGTTATGACAGCACATGCACCATGAGCAAGGGTTGGTGGGCTGTTGGTGTGGTCTTAGGAGTTAGAAGCTGGAATCTAAGGGGAAACAATCTCCAATATGATAACTAACAAACACTACTTCAAGGGCTTTTAATAGAATAGGTTGGTAGATTGACTCATATGAGTGAAGCCAGAGGCCCTTATTGTACAAAGGGATGTGTGTGTTCATTGGTGATTGTTATTACACTTGCAAACCCATTGAATGCACAATACATTCTATCTGCCAACTGGCTAGTTGGTGAGGTCTCTAGCTGACTGTAGGGGAGATTTGGGATTGAATCTTGTCTGCACCAAGGTTGGGAGGCTATAGGTTTAGAGGATGGGCTACCCCCTTTTGTGTAGTCCTGGAGCCAAAAAATGCATTTTTGGAATATATATAAAGGAATTGGTATAAACCAATTTCCTTTATTATTTATTTTCACTAGTGCAATAGCATGTGCTATGCATGTGTGCAATATAAAAAGATAAAATTAAAACAACAAATCTTGTATGTATGATGTAATATAAATTAAGTGATTTAGCTTTTATGGCTTCTATAAAAACTAAGGCAAGTATTCACTTCATATAGTATAGATACAGATTTTTATTAGCCACATGGCAAATGTGATTCATGTCCAAATATGGATAATATAGAATATAATTGTTCCACTGTATCATGTCTCCCTCAACAATTGATCTACTAACTATGGAGGACATTAGAGCTTTATTGGTACCATACTATCATTACACAAGATTCAATATAGATTAATAAATGTAAAAGAGAAACATGGCCAATCATTACATTCGGGTTACATAAAAAATTAAGAAAGATTAAATACATAAATAAAATATGTATGTACAGTAAGCATAAACCCTACTAAATTTTTGATAGAATATTCTCTTGATACCAACATGAAAATGATGAGTCATAAAAACAAAATAATATGTGTGTTAATATACATTTCTACAAATTTATGCATACATACGTGTGTACATATGTATGTATGTATGTATGCATACACTATAAAAAAACACAAATGAGGTCTTAGATTTTTTGGATTTTTTCGACTACAATACATTTCCCTCTCATTAAATCCTATATTTAAGGTATATTTGTTTCCAATCATTAAATTGTATCTATTAAATATATGCATAATAATTTTAATAGTATCAACTAGGAAACAAAAACTTCAATTTGTTTAGGTGGTGGATAAGAAAATCAACCATTTAGGAGTCCCCATGGAAACCCCTTTCACAACCATTTTTTATGATTCAACTTCACTTTATATTTTATTTCTACATCATTCCAAAAAAAAACAAATAGTTAAAATTTGCAATCCTATAAAAATAGATCCAAGTATATTCAAACATATTCAACCATAATTAACACATCCATTAACTAATTCATAAGAAAAACATAAATACTTAACATAATTCCAAAGTTTGGGGCCCCAAGGCCTTAAACCCATTTATTAAAAACCTAAATATCTATAGTTTGAAATTATATATATGGTGGGGATCCCCACTAGGGACCCGTAGGGATGGGGAGAGCCTCGTCCTCGCCAATGGGGATGAAATTTTTCCCATCCCCATCAATGATCCCCAACCCCACCCCATTTGGGGCAGGTCCCCACGAAGATCGAGGAATTTGAGAAAATTGCCATCCCTAGTTGTGTGTCAGCAATTCAACCATTTTGGTTAAATGGATTAATCCATCAAATCATACATAAAAAATAAAAAATACAATGAATTATGGAAAACACAAACAAATAGTAGAATAACTTAGGGCATGTCTCTAATAATACATTATTAATCATATTAAACAAAAATAAGTGTGATAAACAAAAATTTTTTTCAATAATGTGATGTAAATGCAATACAAAACTTAAAACCAATTTGAAAACAAAACCATTTTGTTTGTTAATTCATATCTAGGTAAGTTGTCAATAGTTCAATCTTCCAAATCAAATGGGTTAATCCATGATGTATTAATTAAGTAGTAAGTAATTCAAAAAAGATAGAAACACAAAAAATTTGTAGAAAATATTTGGACATGTCTCTAACCTTACATATTCATCATATTAAACAAAAAAAAAAGTGTAAAACTAAGAGTTTCTTTTATTAATGATGAAAATGGAATACAAATTTTAAATTCAACCTTAACCAAGGTTTTAAAAACCGACTCAAAAACGGAAAAGTTCTAGCTACCGGTTTTCAGGTTAGCGGTTCAACCATCCAGGTCGAACGGTTTGAATGGTTTGCATATTAGGGCAAATGTTTATAAGAAAGAAGAGATTTGCCCTAATATGCAAACCTCATATAAGAAAGAAGAGATGTCAGTTGAGAAAGTCGGGAAGGAGAAAGGAGAACTATTGTCGACTAAGAAAGAAAAAAAAAAGAGGAAGAAGGAAGGAGAGAAGGAAGGAAGAAGAAGGAAGAGAAGGAGGATGATTTGATGTTCATCGGCGACGGCAACGGCGAGGCAGTGGCAATAGATGCAGATTTGAGATCTGAGTTCTTGGATCTCATATATGGGATCTGAGTTCTCGGATCTCATATCTGAGATCGAGTTCAACACCAAGGCCCTTGAGGTGAGGGACGTCAACCCCTTATTTACAATGACCACCCTCATTAATGACATAAGGACCTAAAATTTTAGCTTCTCCATGGTGAAGAAGCCACCAAAGACATGGCCAACCTCCTCCCCCATGCCAAAAGTACATCAATGCTAATGAAACGCAAGTGTACTGCCAAGCAACAAAAGAATAAATTGGATTGAAGAAAAGAAATATAGATAGAGACGACTCCAAAGATAGAGACGAAGACAATTGTAAAAGGAGATCGTCCCAACCAAAAACCCTAACCGAGCCTTGAGACTCCAAATTATGATCGATATACCCCCTTGAATGCTCCGCAAATGCAAATCTTGCTCAAAGTCTAAGATAAACCCTTCCTTAAATGACCCCAACAAGCTCAAACCCAATGGTAATAAGAGAGATTAGAATAAGTACTACAGATTCCACCAAGGCCATGGGCAAGACATTAAGGATTGTCGAAAGCTCAAGAATAAGATTAAACACCTAATTCAGTAGGGCTACTATGATATTACATCTATCGTGAGGGGTCAAGGAGAGACAAGCCCAAAGAGTAGCGCAAGGGAGAGCGAGAACCTGAGCCAAACAACCAACTGACATCCAAAGTCATAACCATCATCTTAAGGGGATCGGCCTCAGGAGGAGAGAGCTCCTCGACCCAAAAAAATGTATGCTAGACACTACAGGTCCACCAATGGCCATTGATGAAGTCATGGCCCGAGGATGCCATATCATTTTCATAAGAGGACCTTAAGGGAATCCAAGTCCCACATGATGACACCTTGGTCATTTGTTGACCCTATGTGTTTTGATGATAACAAACTCATTATGAGTACTGATAATTTGAAATATAAGTGTCAAAATATACCAATCATCCCCTTGGATGGATTGGAGCTTATCCAAAGAATGCAAGCCTACTTTCACAAACAAGAAGAGTAAGAAGAAGTAAGTGATAAGAGTCCATAAGTTTATTACATTCATTAGGACACGATATAATGGGATTGCAAAAAGAACCAAAATAGTCTAAACTCAAACATACCTTCGGTTCTACTAAAAGCTTAGAGACTAATGGCTAAGTTAGAAGCAGTTTTTAGGCTTTTTCTGGGTTTTATCTTGGACAAAAGCATCTAAAATCTTTGCAAGCCTAAGGAGTTAAATCCTAAACCATATGAATTGCCTCCTTAAGTGATCCAATGTTGGCTAAGTTAGAAACAGTTCTTAGGCTTTTTCTAGGATTTATCTTGGACAAAAGAATCTAGAATCTTTGCAAGCCTAAGGAGTTGAATCCCAAACCATATGGGTTACCTACTTAAGTGATCCAAGGTTAGGTTATACTTAGTAGTCGATTGCCTAAAAGGCAATAGACAACTAATTGTGACAGTCAATCTTGGTGTCACTTAGTAGTCAACTACTTGAAAGGTAATAGTTAACTAGTTATCATAACTAAACCTGGGTTTATTTTGTACTTGACTAAGTGTAATAGCTGAGATTGAGTTTCACCTAGTAATCAGCTACCAAAAGGTAGTAGTCCACTCATAGAAAAGAGATTCTCTTCTATGAGTAGTAATCGACTACTCGACTGTGATAGTTGACCACTTCATAATGAAATCTCAATATTTTGACTATTTGAAAACTCAACTCTTTTCTCTTTTGGCAAGCCTTCAATGTTATTGGGAACAAATTCTTAATGTTTATTAGAGTGGATTAATCCTCTCCTAATGGCTTAATAACTGCCACAAGCCCTCTAGCCTTGATTCATGCTATTTATGCATGGGTTTGATATAAAAAAAATGTAAGAAAGTGCGTTAAGCAAAAAGTTCTAACTAAGAAAGAGAGCAAAAGTAAGAAAAAAAAGAAATTGAAGAGATTTTATGCCAAAAGGGTTTTATTTTTGTAAGAAAATTTAATAGCCATTTGTACTAAATTGATTTTCATTAAGGAACTTGAGTATCTTCAAGTGTTATAGCCCATATTTTATCATGCATTCTCTTGCATCTAAATAGTTTAGTTTATATTTGCATATTAGCCTTATAGAGGCATTGCATTGTTCATCTAGTGTATTCATCATTGATATGCTTATTGCGTTTGATCAGATAATGGTGTTCTAGTTGAGTATTGTTCAATGTTCAGAGATTGAACACTGTTGCCACCTATAAGTCAACTGCTATAGAGGTCTTATTAGCACTTAGAAGTCCAACTAGTATAAAGGTTTTACTCCAACTAGTATAATGAAATTCTCAAGAAGTTGCTTGAGGAGATGTGGTCC